AAGGAAACGGCAGCATGCATGGTAAGAGAAGGAACTGGCAGCATGCATGGTAAGAGAAGGAATGTGTGGCAGTTGTGATTACAGCCACAAGGCTATATTCAACTGACTTGGTCCAGTTAACAACTTGTGATACACCTACTTTCTGCAAGGGATAGGGAGTAAATGGGTCATACTGCAGCATTTTCGAGAGACATCATCCTGGGGTGCAGATAGTTTTATCTTGGTCAAAGACAACAGGCCACCTGTGGGAGACAGTCCTGTTTGCCCATAGAGTGGATACTGATTCGCAAGCACTTCTGCATGCAGGCCAGACCCTCGTTACTTTCTGGATTTCTTTTTCCTAAATAGCATAACTGTGCCTTGTGTGAAGCTAGAAGCATCCACCAGACCAATGTGATCCTTTCAATGAAAAGGCAAAAATTTTACGATGCTCACCTTGAAAGAAATAGGGAACAGCAACAGCCCAAATAAAAGATTTGCGTTCGAGGATTTCAATGCACATGGTAGCTGACAACATCAATGATTCATCTGCGTAAATTCTACATACTCTCTAGCTGAGAAATTTTTGAAAATTGTTGGTGTAATCTCAATGCATCAATAAAAGCCCATCATCGTCAAACTCACAAATGAATGCATGGACTGAAAAGTTGAAAGAATAACAGAACTGCAGTTGTGAATTCACCTACCTGTCCTAAAACAGGATGTCTGGATGTTCATCTGAAATTGGAAAGACAACAACAAGATCATGTACGTACTTCAGGACTCGACTCCCAGAAGAGAAAGATAAATCACTATTGCAGTAGCCCTTATTCAATGCAATCAACCTTTAGTTTCTAAAATCTTTTGGGGCTATATATTCACGGTAAGGGTATCATTCCAGAGTTCATTTTGAATAAGAGGGTACAGCTATGATTTGAAAGAAATTGTTGTGCAAAAGGATGACGATGACAATGAGCAAGTTCAATATTTCAAAAGCCATTCCAGAACAGTACACATAAGAGTCAGGGTATAGCTACGCTAATAGAACAGACCTGGCGCCCACATATTGGTATTCCCAAAGGACCTTAGACATGCTTCGTTTTGGGCATGTGCGGTTGGAAGCCTTTTGCAAGTTACATTTGAATAAAATCTGGTACACTGAGTTCTTAGAATTCGTGTGAACATAACAATATGACTTATCCCTACACTGTTGCTTTTCTTCATGATTTGGGGCAAGCTTTTGCTTGTAGTTACATAAGAGATGCCCTGCAACTACACACTGTTTTCAATGGATCATACGGGCAAGAAGGAATTACCAATCCACTCCAGAGATGGTGGTCGCTATGCAGAAACTTGCCTCGAACAACAAAGTATAGCAACAGTGTCTTTAGTCTGGGGAATTCAAATTGTTATATTTATGTACAATTGGATAACTCAGTGTACCAGATTTCACTCAAATTTAACTTGCAAAAGGCTTATTTCAAACTGGTTTTTGTATGATCAGGCTTGGGTAATGACAATATAGCCTAGAGGCTGATAAAATGTGTTCTTTTTATGACACTGAGATCTTTGGTTGAGAACGGCCCAAATGAACAGAACAGCCCAAATGAACAGAACAGTTGACACAATAATTGATAGACTTGCTATAAAAAGAGAAACCCTAGGGAACCTTAGAGAACCAACCTAGCAAAACATGGTTGCTTTGGGAAAAACTTTAACAAATGTAATAAAATTAAACATAACTGTACAAGGTTAAACATCACTGCGAACCCCAGAAAAGATCAGGAGAGGGAAAGAAATTCTACATTAAACCACAACCACAACCATGAACATCTACACGTTTACCCCGGCCTGCTACTTTTAAACCTGTTTCTCCAGGTACTGCAGGGGTGGATCCAGGAATTTTCAGGGGGGAAGGGTCACTTCCATCAGATTTTTTCATGTCCAAAATTGTTGTGGGCAGGCAGACACATGGGGTTATGCATTAACATTGTTCCTTATGCACTGTCCTGTTCCTGATTTTCTTTTTTTTTGGGGGGGGGCTTCAGGGTTGGGCGGTTGACTCCACCCCAAACCCTGTAGCCAGGTCCGCACCTGTATTAAAGCCCCTTCCCTTACTAAAATTCCCCCATCACCGTCTAAAATCATCGATGTTTGCGACACTTAAAAACTGGGACCGTGGAAAATTGAATTCTTCCCCGAAATTCAATATCAGGGATCAGGAGGGATGGAAGGCTTCTGCATTAAAAAAGCTGACATCTTCTGTTGCTATCCAAATGTGAGACATTTAGCTTTAGGGCCCTCTAAATTTTTTCCCAGCCTATTTTAAAACTACTTTGTGTTCTTACATTACCAGGTATAAATCATCAGTCACGCTAAGACTACCTTCACGTTTGGAAATTCTTCTTTCTTTTCTTCCTTTTAGGCAACTGGAAAATTGATGAGTAATTCTGTGGTGAGTGTGTCTAGAGAGTGTGAAATTTTACCGGTTTTGACAGTTGAAAATATTATTGTGTCATACAGGTATCACGTCATGCAATGTGACGGAGCATACATGTAGGCCTATACCTTGAAAAATATAACACAAGATTCTACGAAGTCATACACTCTGTTCGATAAATGTAATGTAGATTACTTACCTAGCGAATATCATGATCACGCTTGATGTATGAAATATTCAAGACGTGTACTTCGTTTGAGGGAAAACGAACTCCGGCAGGCCAAAAACAAGCCTCTTTGGTGGAAAGATACACCCGATTTGAAAACAGGCGCCATTTTACAGCTGCACAATGTTATAAATCACGACGACCACGTGATGTGTCCGGCCCATGCTCGATGTCATGTGCTCACATTCGATTTAAAAAGTGAAGTTTTCATGCAAAATGAGCTCACGCGTATATGCTTTGGGGAATTTATAGTTCATTGAAACATCGTTAAAATAAATTTTATCAGTTTGATTATAATTTTTTGTTTGTTTGTTTCTAAGGAACAAAAGAACGCACACGCTTTGTAAAACAGCACACGAAGCTGTTTTCAGCTTAGACCTTGAGTAATATAATGGAAAAGCGCTTTGATATTAAGTTTAAAAGCGTTATAAAAGAACCCGTTATTATTATTTTTCATTCTTTATAGAACCGGAGAGATTTTTTACCAGGTTTATGGTCTTCAGACTTCAAGGTCCATCCAGCGCTCAGGCCGGGGGGATATATCTTGTCAAGCTGTCACTAGCCATGAAAGCTATATCCGAAAAATCTGAAGGGAGGGCGCTCTTTAATTCTGTCACATATACCATTATTATAAAAACAGGTAGTGTATGAAGAACTAGAAGGCATTCTGTATACGGCCATGCTAGCTTGCAGTGCGTAATGAAGGCGATCTGGTGATCATGGGTTCTTCTCCTCAGAGGTAAATACCTGGTGAGTATTTCGATACATTTTTTTGAGAGTGGAAATTTCGGCAGACATTTTGTCGGTCCATTCCGCAGCCCAACGGCAACCACTTCAGCGCCGTTGCACTGCTGCCATAGCTGCGTCGACGCTGACCATTAATGAATGGATAGGCCAGAATCAATGATCATAAACATGTCTATTATTATACATTTTGTTGTCTCGCTGATTAGTTAGTATTTAGTAATACACACACAAGAGACGACCAGGGGCCTGGAGACCAATGTGTTATCATGGAAGTCAAATCTGAGCGCGTAACACATGCATTGTTTGAGCGAACCGGTAGGCTTGCATATATTTAACCATCACAGTGCAGTACAGAGATGTCATTGAGCATGTTGAGTTACAGTACAGAGCATGTATGCCTAGAGAGGATAGGATTAATTGAATTTAACAGGCTGTGTCTTTGTATTCTTTTCCCCTGTCTGTTACTGTCTAGAAAAAAATTTAAACTTGATACCTGCTGTCTGGTATCCTGTCACACCTCTATGTCACCATGACGACCCAACTGTGTTTCAACCAGTCAGAAGCTATTGAGCTGCATGGTCCACATGGCCTCTACCTCAAGCCCATCGCCAAGCTCAACATCTCTGTCACCCTACCTCAGATGAAGATGGAAGGCAAATCCATCAGCAACTGGGAGGTGATGGAAAAGCTCAAGCGTATGGCCAAGCCCGACTCCTTCCTGGTCCTGCGGGTCAGCAAGAGCTCGCTGGAGTTCCTGCGCTTTGAGGCCGAGGTGGAAGCCAAGAGCCTCATCAAGGTCCTCATCCTGAGGCTGGATGGCAAAGTAATCAAGCTCAGTGGGTTCCCTGAGCCGCTCAAAGTCAGGGCGGCTGAGGCCAAGATCAGCTTCCCCAACCGGCATGACTGGGACTCGTTCTTCCGCGACGCCAAAAACATGAATGAGAACAACCCTGGGGAGCGGCCAGATACCATCAAGATCGAGAGCCTGCCATGCAAGTGGTTCTCCTCAACGGCCGAGCCGGACAAGCCCAGTGAACTCATTATCAAGAAGATCTTTGAGCTGTTTGGCGAGATCCGGAACGTGGACATTCCAATGCTGGACCCCTACCGGCACGAGTCACAGGTCATCGGTGGAAACTTCCGGACGTTTTCCTCTTTCAACACGTTGACATTTGAAGCCTTCATTCAGTACACAGAGTACATCGGGTTTGTGAAAGCAATGGACGCTCTAAAGGGAATGAAACTTATGAAGAAAGAGACAATTACGGATGAAAATGAGAAAGAAGGCAAAGCTTATACAGCTGACATCAAGGTACACAGCCATTCCTATGATAAGCCAGTTCAGTAGTCCAACAGTGTGTGCCCAAAATGAAGTGCGTTGGAGGTCATTCGTACATGCAGGTGGTCTGCCCTATCAGCGTGGCCATGCACAGACTCGCACACATGCTTTGTTTCCAAATGACCTTGTTGTTTTGAAATATCAAACAGGCTCGTTTGAACTTTAGTTGAAAGAATGAGGTGTTCATAGGTGGGATATGCACCTTAGACCATCAGACTAAAAGTTCTTGGACTGTATTTATGCTGCCTCATTGTGAGGATGAGGCACCATATTTTTGTTCTTTTTCAGATCCATTTGGAACTCACTTCCTGCCCTTTACACATTGCCTTTCTGAAAAATTCCTCCAACAGGTTGACTTTGACAAGACGCGTCACCTGTGCGCCAAAAGCATCCAGAAACGGGAGAAGGAACGACAGAGGCTGATCCAACTGGAGAAGCAGCGCGAAGAGCAGAAACGACTGGAACGGGAAGAAGAGGAGAGAAAACAGGAGGAGGAAAGGTGAGCCTGCTATGATGCTTCAGAGTCATCAAATCAAACTGATTGTCTGTTCAAAGGAGGAACGTATATCCCAATAGGCCTATGTGGTGCTTCAAAACTGACAGATAGGTAGTGAGTTATCCAGAGAACGTGTTTTGACAAACCCATACATGTAATTAGATCAACATGTTCATTTGTCTTTAAATGGGTGATTCTGACCCTCAGTCCCTAAGGATGTGTGAAGAAAACATTAGAAATGGATGCTTAAAGTTAAGAGACATTCCTACATGCACCACTGCACATCTGACAATTCAAGATGTGCGCGCGGGGCTTACACAGGGAAGCAGGGAGATTTGTACATCACGTCATTGCAAAGGACAACATAATTGAACTTTTGAATAATGGTACATCACTAGTAGCTAGATTGAAAACAGGAAAAATGCTTCCCCAAAGGCTCACCGACCATACCTTGCAAGGTTGTAAATACATTGCAAAAGTTAACGGCGAGTCAATTTGCTATAGTGAAGTTAGCAATGGCACACAATAGAATTGTACCTAGAATTTAAAAAAAAAGAAAAGAAAATAAATAGGAAAACACATGACGTCCCTGGAAGACGCTTAGACCAGAACAAGCTCTCCCTGATACAGGCGGAGAAAGGAGCAAGAGGAGCTGTACAGGATACAGCGGAAGCAGGCCAAGCTGACGCGCAAGGAGGAGAGACGGCAGCAGAGGGAAGAGAAACGACGGCAGCTGCGGGAGGAGAAGAAGAGGCAGCGACAGGAGCAGGAGCTGCAGCGGCGGATAGCGCTGGAGGAGCGCAAGCTACTCATCGCGCTAAGACAGCTGGAATCTATCCGACTGCTGACGGAGCTCTTCGAACGGGTTAAGGTATGGGGACACAAAACGAGGAGAGGAGAAGAAGAAGAAACAAAAGATAGAAGAAACCCCTTCTTCTGTTAGGTCTGGCAGTTTCCAGTGAAGTGCTTTGCCCCCTGACAAAATCTTGGCGACACAAATGCTCTTAACCATTTCCAAATTGGCATCACTGTGTGATAAAAATCTAAGCAGGTTTTTCTACTCTACTCTTATGCTGGAAAATAAGGTTTTCCCAAATGTGGTGTGAACATGATTGGAAATCGTTGACTTTACCTACCTGCCACTTTGTTTCATCGCTTCACTCCATCTTTATTGTCAAGGAATTCCAAATTTGAGTCATTCAAGATGATTGCTCCTTCAACCCAGGTCATAAAGCAACACGAAGAGGTGCAGCGACGACTGGAGGAACTGGAGCAGGAGCGACTGCGGCAGCTGGAGGAGGAACGGCTCAAGAAGGAGCAGGAGGAGCGCGCCCAGGAGAAGGCAGCAGCCCGCCAACAGCGCGAGCTGCGGCGGCGCGAGCTGCGCCTCAAGCGCAAGCTGACAAAGAACCTGAGGAACCGGACGGAGCAGGAGGAGGAGAAACGGCGGGAGCGCCTGCGGCAGAGGCTGAGCGGCAGGGCCAGGCTAAAGTCGGCTGTGGTACCCGGCCTGTATCCCCGGCCCCACATCGACGAGGACCGCCACCAGTACGGGGAGAGAGTCGATGGGGAGAGGAGCACCAAGAGACCCAAGCTGAAGTCAGCCATGGCGCACAAGCACAGGTAGCCAAGGGTCGGATGGTCTGTGAAGGTCATGCAGTAGACTCGTACGCTAACAGACTGTTCAACAAGGGAGAATGCTGTGCACTGGAACTTTGCATGTCTCTCTTTGGAGTCAACTATGCCAATTGAAAGTTTTCTGCTTCAGAAACCAAAAACCGAGTTCATGGCTGTATTCTTGTCAGGATGCTTCACAGAAGCCGATAGAGGGATCCTTGTTATTCTGTAATGGCACAAAGTGGTTTTTAACTTACCGGTTGTGTTACCAGTAAGACCTTTTTACAAAGTGGTTTCATTCAAATGGGCCTACAAATACCCTGGGGCCTACAAAAGTGTAGTTGCTTTCCCAAGCCAACATGTTCTTTCAAAGCCGACTTTTATACGTTGCTTAAAGAGTTACATACCAGAGCTAATCAATCGAAAGTGACTCTAATTAATTGCATGCTGAAACTCAATCCATGATTTTACGTTTGATCAGTACTAAAGTCAGCAGGGTCCTGTGTTTGGTCATCCAAAATTGATTCCACAGAAAATGTGAAATAAAACAGGTGTTCTCGTTCACGACTCTGACTTCCTGGAAGTGTGCCGCATTTTGTGAGCAAAATCTAACAAATGTAGTGCTCAAGCACCACTGAAATCGGTTCCAACCAAGACGGCCGTTACACAGATTGGCCAATTGTTACGTAAGCATGTCACTTTTTTCATATCGAGAATGAAAAAAAGGCCGTCATTTTGTTGAACTCCGCTCTGTATTTAAATCCCAAAAATGTCCTCAGGAATATTAATGGTACTTAAGTCATAAGTTCCAGAAATGTCTCTGCTGAGGTCAACGGGATTCAAGAAATAATGGTTAAAAATGTAACAAGTTGACCATACTTTTGTGGGGGGGAATGACTGTAATGTGGCCAAGACTCCACAGAAATATAAAATTGGCATTGTTGATTCATCAATATTAATGTTTATTACACTTGCTAGTGAATGATTGACATACACAGTAATCTTGGGCTTGTTAAATTCTCCATTTTCGGGTCAACTAATGTTCCAATTAAATTTGTACAGAGGAAAAAAAGGTAAGATGGGAACAAATCCAATCCAATCTTTGTTATCGCAAATCCATTATCAACACAATCTCTTTTAAAATAATATTACTAAAAATCTCAAGAGCCTTAGGATACATGTCACTGCAGATAACACCAAAAAAGAAACAAAAATGCTACTGTTCTAAGGACTTAAAATGAGAAAAATGAAGATCAAATTTTGTTGCCTATTGTACTGCTGCCCTATATTATATACATTACTATAGATATGTCTTCTTTTCAGATGGTAATTACAACCATGGTCTTAAACCCTTTTCTTTCAAGATCCATTACACCCAAAATTAGAGCATTACGAACCAAAGTGGTTTTTAAACAACAAATTAAAAAAAAAAAGTGATTGAAAATTACATTTTCATCAACATAGAAATGGTGCACACGATACACATACTGGGACGGTTCAGCCTGGCCCCCCAAAATTTCAAAGCAAAACCAGTTTTGACTATGGCTACCGCCCACCACCTACTTGCAGCACGATTTGGAGGATGGACATATTCAGCACTGTGATACTGGCAAATACATGTCTCTGACTTTGTGCGAGTCAGCATAGCTGCCGGGTCTTGACAACTTTGAATGACCGTGGCTTTAGTTTGTAGCTAAAAAGGGCTAGACTGATCAATACTACTCATAAATACTGCTAAACCGCCTAAGCAAAGTAATAGATGTGCATTTGTACCGTGCATTTTTAATTTCTGGGCAAAAACCTGAAAACCAGTGTAAACGTGCAGGGGGTATCTCTCGTTCTCTAAGGATAAAGGGCCAAATCTCACACAAACAAAACAGCCTTCTACTGCCAATGGTGATTTCACAGCACAACAGAAATTTTGCTGAAGATTAGACTCATTGAGTATAATGCAGAAATTCCCTTCGGTCCAATTTCTGTTTTGTTCAACATCACCAACACAGCTTAAATCAAGAATTTGGCTGAAAAAGACAGTGGGCGTGGTTTGAACTAAAGCGACGTCACATGAACCAGATACAAACTGAATTACCATATAACCAGGGATCACGCTCCAAATTCACAAAATAACATATAAAGGCCGGCAATGGGACCATGATGAATTTTTTGGCAGCTATAACTGCAAAAGAACATACATGCATGCGGGCTCAACAGATGAATATTGTTGCAAATCTTGTTTATCACACGGTACCGATGTGAAGACGGGCACTTCATGGAGAGATGTACTACAGAGAGAGAGATTTTGAACACAATCATGCCACAGGCAATAACGTCTTGCTATCAGCACTCAACATGCTTATCAAGCCACTGTTGATTTCCAGCAAGTGCAGACAGAGGTCTGGACAACCTGATGAAAGCTGGGCGTTTCCCATTTCCACAACTCGCACTGACTCAAATCTTTCTCAGAAGACACTGGGATACATGTATCCTTGAGCATGTAACACTTTGAACTCTCAAAAAGAGTGACTTAGTACACCTGTCTTACTCTTCGATATGGTACAATTTGAAACTTTCTTTTCTTAAATACCCAGACTATTCATTAATACTTGCTCTCGGTTTACTTTACTGTCTCTCGACCTTTGACCTCCAAACCTCAGCTAACAAGTCATTAAAACTCAACCTGTGTAATCTTATGCAGATTTCTTCAAGGAGAAAAAATAATTGTTCAAAGCCACATTTGATAAAGAGATACCACCTCTGTTTAAATAAGTGAACAAGGTTACTCCAAAAATTAACAGAGCAGAAACAGTTCTTGATGGAAATGCAAAATCTTTTTAGCAGTATGTGCCCAAAAATATACAAAGCACCTTTTTTTCGATTCCTTTTTGTCCTTTGTATTTTTTTTGCTTTTTTTTTTCTTTGTTTTTCTATTACCCTTTCTTTTCGTAACGCGTTTACATTTGTTTTTTTAACACTTTTATTTTTAAATACTTCCAATGAAACTAATCAGCCAATGCAAAGCAACAGTTATCAATAAATCAATCAATCCCAAAGCTCAAACTATTAATGTGAAGAGGATTTTGAAGAAAATTATGTTTACTTCAAAAAATAAAATAGTTTTCCCAGAAGAGATTAAGAGCAAGAAAAGCGTGCCATTCATCTTGGTTAATATTTACAAATTCACAATGAAATAAAATCTGAATTTGCATACTTTGCATACTAACGTACAGACAACCACCTCCAAAAAAAAATCAAGCCAGACCAAGGACATTGCCGACAGGAGCAACATGACTGGATCAATTTGAAATATTGGAAAAACATCTCATCAAAACAGCTGAAATTACAATACCAGTCACAGTGGATTAAGTTTAATGTCATGCTCAAGATGAAGGCACACACGTGCAGCGCGAGTTACTCTTTAGAAGCAATTATGGACGATCTTTCCAACCCGGACTCTGTGTTGTTCAGCAGCAATGGTGTTTACGCTTATTTACAAATTAAAGAATGTTAAACTAAAATGAGAATTCTGAAATATCCATACAAGGGGAAAAAAGCAAACATTTAACTATCTCTAGCAAGAGTATGAACACGGTCTAGTTGCACTGATCTACAAGTGCGGTTGATATACATTTTTGTTAACTTGCAAACAGCTTGGTGTGAATATCTTTCCAGAACAATCCACAAAGATTCCATACTCAAGCACTCAAGCACTTAAAACAGTACCAAAGTATTTCAAAAATGAGGGAGTCTGGATAAAACCTTATTTCTCATCTCATGTACAATACATAAGGGTAACATAATTTGAACAAGGATACTCAGAAGGTGAATAAATATTCATAAATATTTGACGTCTCAATCCGCAAACAAAGGACTTGGTCTGCAAACGTTACTGTGCTGCCGCTGGTACTGAAGGAAATTTCCAAATGAACTGAAGATTATTCACACCCTCCAGCGGCCATCTCCGTGTGGCACATGCGATTCAATGTGACCAATGGACTCGTGAAGCATGACCAGTGTTGCATCCGAGGACAAACCATTCATCCACGCTTGGAACTTCTTGCTAATCACCGCCTGAAATCTGAGAGAGGGCTGACAATTCACCACACCTGCTGGTAGCTTCTAAACCATGCACGGCACCGTGGAGCCCTTCGCCGACTCCTGGTCTGGGATTCACTCAAAGAGAGGTGCAAAGTAGCCAGTCAGCCGGGTCCCACACTAGATTCACAAAATAACATGTAAAAGCCGGAAATGGGACCATGATGAACTTTTTTGGCAGCTATAACTGCAAAAGAACATACATGCATGCGGGCTCAACAGATGAATATTGTTGCAAATCTTGTTTATCACACGGTACCAATGTGAAGACGGGCACTTCATGGAGAGATGTACTACAGAGAGAGAGATTTTGAACACAAACATGCCACAGGCAATAATGTCTAGCTATCGGCACTCAACATGCTTATCAAGCCAACTGTTGATTTCCAGCAAGTGCAGACAGAGGTCTGGATAAAAGAACCAATCACAGATCACGAACGGCGAGCCTGATACCCAGCCACTCCCCTACATTTCGATTGTCACTGTGAAACTGGTCAGAGACTCAATTTCCGTGAACCCTAAAAATGGCCGACCACCAACAACCTCCATCCCATTTGACATGAACCCATCACAGACTTCTGGCACTGTCCGTTGTACTTCAATCCTTTTGAACAGTCAACTCCTCACATAGAAAGTTGCTTGAAAGTATTACAAATAAAAAAAAAAAAATCAAGGCCCATTGCCTTCTCTTGGTAATCGGGTTTAGACTGAGTATTTGGGGGTCTATATCGTTTGCCCAAAATTTTAATTTGGGAAAAGGTAACAACTGAATACCTTTCATACAATCTTGGAATTAAGAATACAATCTAAACAAAACAATACATAAACCAAAGATAATTTGCTATTTCCTGCACAAATCTATGTAAATAATTCAAATTATAAGATTTGTGATTCTTTCAGATTTTAAATGATTCTGTTTAACTATCAATAATTACTTTTGTTTCAGTAGATTTTCTTTCTAATCTGTTCTTTTAAATTTTGTTTGTCAAAACATATAATTCATCAAATTAGATCAATGACTCTGCTTTACAAATGGCCCCATAATGATTGGGCTTAGCTTCCAATAGGTGACTTCAATTTTCATATTTGGGATTTTAGGACCATAGTCTGGACTCCAACTGAATAATCCCCCCCCCAAAAAAAAGGCCTGAACATCATTAAAATTGCTTTGCTAACAAAATATATATAATTGCTAAACAAAAAATCACTCAGCTTTGTGCTATAAATGAACTACACAATGTGGGAAAATGACTGTCACTTCGCCTGTTTCATGTCAACCATCCTGCCCCTTATTATCGACAGGCACAATACTGCTCTGACACTCCTCCACAGAAGTGAATGACACATCCCTGCAGGTCTGCCACTGACGTTTCCACACACGGTTTGTGGGAACTCGAATCATTTGCAGGGACGGACGGGCTTGTCTTTCCCCAGCAAAGGCACGGGGGGGGGGGTCTGAGGATCAAGGAATCCTACAGTTCTGTGAGACCAATGACGGCTTCTTCAACCGGACGACTACATGTCAAAGGGAATGGGGGACTAGGCTATGCAGAACAGAGAGTGTGTCTGAAAAGTGAATATGTCGGGCCGATCAAAGAAAGTACGTACCCTGTGCCACATCGCAGGGCAGTATTAGCGACACTTCCTACGGACAGAGCAAACCCATGTCCCCCTATGTCCAGCCTATCAGAGATCTTGAACACACCAAAGTCTATGTGCATCAGCACAGCAGAGGCTGATGTAAATGAAGCATTCAACCTCCCTCATTTACCGAGATTCATCCCGCACGGCATCTCACGTACTGAAGGTTGCCGCTCCTTAAGTTTCTGAGACATCAGCCTTCAACTCCGACCCCAGCCCCCAGATTACAAGCACCAACCCCACACTGCCCCCAACCCCCTTAAATCCCCCCCTGCTCCCAGGGCCTTCCGACTCCCTAAGCCCCACTCCCCTTTGCCCTCACGAGTCCTCCTGGCCTCCTACGGCACCCTCCGGGGTTGGGTTTTCCATTGCGGCTGGGATTTGGGATTCCGATGACTGGCCCTCCTGCCTTGGCCTCTTGCTCGCTGTGGACGCGTCAGCTTCGTCTGGTTCAGCACCTCCAGTAGCGCCCTCGCTGGGATTCGTCTCTTCAATCGGGGGCTGAACAGAAAAGATGATTACTTTCTCACAGGAAATGATGAGATAATTCAGTGTAATGACGTAAGGGTTACAATATAATTTGAAGGACAAAGCTCAGCACAGTCAAATCCCCAAACACTGCTACTTGTGAACCACACGTAGAATTAAGAAATACCCAAGAACTACCAAATGTCTCAGCAATTGGTATCCCAGCTCACCGTGCCCAAAATTGGGAAAGATTTGCTTGGGATTTTTGGTGACGAAATAGTGAAAATACTGAGAGGTATTCCTATGCTCATTCACTTATAAGATATGTCTCCCTTTATGCTTTCTGCATATTGAGAATTGAGAACAAAACACCGATATCAAAGGGCACTTCTTTGCAAACAAGAAATTCATATCTCAGAAGAACTCCGTCAATACATTTGTCATTCTTCCCTTTGCACATGCAAAGCATTGTGCAAATTATACAACGGCAAATGAACATTCGGCACAATACTTCTGAAAAATATGGAGTTCATATTCTGCATCTTTCAGACCCAGAATTATGCATACTTCCTTCTCGCTAAATCAGTACGCGTAGTCCGAGAGGGTCTGAACACACCACAGCCTGCCATTATCAACTCACCACTACTCGGAAGTCTTCCAACGTCTTGTAGTTCTGCAGTGTCTCCTTCAGCTCCGGGTCAATCTCCAGATTCTTCTTACGAGTGTACTTCAAGAACGCCCAGAATTTTTCCAGACCATACAGCTGACCTGTAATCGAAAGAGAAATTTGAAAATGATCTGACACTTTCTCTACCAATCGAAGTTACAAAACCAAAGATTGGTCATTTAGAAATGAGGAAACTTAACATGGGTAAGGAGTGATTTGGTAGAATTCTTACATCAAATAACTCTTTAGAAAACAAACGTCTATACAACATTCTGTTACTTCTGATACCAATATCTAGAATGAAAATTATCAGTGGAAAATTTAGCAAATGCCTACTAGAAAGACACAAAAATGTGCAACAACAAAACGTCACAGTCGAAGTAAACAGTCCTCTTTATTTTGTATTCGTACATCCTCGAAACTCGTTTTAAAGTTACAAGCATCCCCGCCATTCCTCACCGGAGCTGTGGTCATTCTTGGTCTCCAGCATGAAGTCCCGGAAGATGTCCGGCCGGAATTTCTTCTCCAGGCCGTAGCTGTAGAAGCGGAAGAGGCACTCGAGGCCGTAGCGGTAGCCGTGCCGGCTGTCCTCCACCGCCAGCTGCCGGAACTCCTCGTACATCTTGCGGTTGAAGTTGGTGCGCAGGAAGAAGGACCAGAAGCGGAAGAGGGTGTTCATCTCCTGTGATTTGCCGATGCCTAGCTTCTTGCGATCTGCCGGGAGAACAAGTGGGAGAGGAAACAGGGCATGGGGGTTTAAAAGGGGGTTTAAGGTGTGCATCGGAATTCAACTGCTGAAGTTGAGATGTGGCTTCTGGATGGCAAATGCCTGGGGGTAGGCCCATACTTCATGAGGCTGAAAAATGGCTTCTAGACAGCAATGCCTAGAGAGCCTCCCTGAATCTCAGCTTAATCTCAGTGGCTTCAGGCTAATGTCTTTAATCCTCCCTTTATTGGAGACCCTTTACCATCATCCTACCAGAAAACAGTGAAACAGGTGTAAGACTCTAAGCCGTGCTATCAATGGCAGCCAAATCAGCTGTGTGTGTTGGAGACATTGACATCTAATCCCATAAAGTTGAGATACTGTTGGATCCTGCGGCTGCTGGCAACCCGACTCAATGGCCTTGGGCCAGATGATCTGTTGGATCTTGTGGCATCCAGCAGGCAAGTAGCTTTGACAAGTGGGGCAAACTGACACATCTGGCAAAATGTCTAGCCAAAGTACTCCAGAGGGTTAAGGCTACACTCAGTGCTGGTCCCTGTTCTGTTACATAAGCAACCTCTTGTCTAGGCTGTTTGGTCTCCACAATAAATGCTTAAAACTAATTTCGGAGCTGGAGATGCAGCCAAAGATGGAGACGAAAACCTAAACAACAATATGGTCAACCTGCTGAACTGAGCCATACTTGAACACGGACTTGGGAGTCCCACCTTTCAGGCATTTATGATGGTACTTGTGGTAGCCGTGCTGGGTGAAATTATTATCCTTCAGGAGCTCATGCGAAGGGTGCTCAAACTTGGGTATGGGCTGTGGAGTGCCATAGCTAGTGCTGACAACGCTGCCCTCAGAGGGTGACCTGTGGAGCAGAGAGGATTGAAAAGAGATTCCAGTCAACTTACCGGGGCATTAAGAGTATTTCCAACAAAACTCACCAAAGTTAAACCGAGGGTTCCACGGTAGCATGTCTGTAGTAGGAGTATCTACCTTGGAGTTCGCATCAGTGCTTGATATCACGGCCCTGACAGAGCTGGGGTTTGGGACCATCTCACAGCTGGGAAGGGGTGGATTCTACCACCCCTACAAACTCAAGCTGTTACCACCCCTTAAACTCAAGCTGTTCCATGCCTGATCCTTTTGCACATGGCATGCATTGAAGACACTCATTACTGGTACTAATGTGGAGTTTCAACTCCATCTGACTTATGGTGGTGTTGTTATTGTCATCCTGCATGCACTGAGCGCGTCAGTGGAAAAAGTATACCTTTTTGGCTGACGTGTTTGGGAAAAATGGGCACTGAGCGAGAATGGTATGTCTGATTTTCACAAAACTGGTGCCAATATGACTGCAAGATATTACTGAAACAGTTCCTGTAGGCTTGACGAGTGAAAAAAAATGCACTGGGATGACATCAGAAAAATGTCAAGGGGGAGGGGTGGTTGTTTACCACCCCCCCAGTTCTTCTAAGGTTACTACAGCAGACAGTCACGGCAGCATGCTAATGGAGAATACCAAGATAAGCAAGTCTCATTTAGCACAGTAAAGCTCGTAGCTCACCCAACGGATGCGTTCCTGGATCTGCTGGGGTGTTCCCTGGAGTCCATGACCCAGCCAACGTGGCTCTCCACTGGTGGATTGTCACTGTGTTTCGTCTTGCGTTTCCTTGGTGTCTGCCGAAAAATTGAACAGCGTAATGAGTGTGCTTTGTCCTGATGTGGAGTGTGCTAGTGCTGTCTATCATCTAACTTAATGGGCCCTCACATTTCAGACGCCCTGCCAGTTTTGATTCAAAGGGAAAAATGAGTGGGATCCAACTCGGAGTTCTATTCTGGGGGATTAAGAAAAGATCCCAAACATAAATAGAAAACTTCCTGATAAAAATGCTCCCTGAGCTAAAAGATAAGCAAAAGCAAGTGATGTCCTAAAACTCATCGAGCGGGACTAAGAGAGGGTGCAATTTTTCTAGCAACAGGGCCCAATGAGGGGGTGCTTCTGCTCAAGGCGGATTGTGAGAACTAAGACTATCAAAGCAGCAGAGAAAAACAAACAACTGAAATCCTCCCCCACAATGGTGCGGGACGAGTCTGCTAGCGAATGCCTATCCTAACAGTCGCTATATTTGTAAATTTCCATGTACGTCTTTTGCCCTTCACTAAAAACTTTATTAAGTGTGAGGGGTGTAACGATTCACCGATGCATCGATAATCGCAATTCTAAAATATTCATTCCTGTGTCAGTGGGACTCTTTACAGGCGTTTATGTAGAAGCGGAAGTAGTGACTAACAATCTCCACTGTTACTTGTGGTAGCACACATTTCACTGTGAATTTACAATTTGAAATTAGGTAAGTACATTCTTGCTTTCGCCGATGGAGTGGCGCAGGGTGCACTAAGTTATTGTGTCATGCATTATGTGTGTGATGTTTTGTACGAGCCTTCAAACATTTTTTGGATATTAACTCATTAAAATGTTAGTACAACACAAATGTATAATTGTCTGAAGAGACTCCTCAAGTTACGAATCCGCAGAAAAAGATGTGGATGGAATATACCGTAGACCATCAAAATCACTTTTTAATTTATAAAAATTTCTGAATCTGAAACTTTGACCCAAAAACTTTCGACGAAAAAAAAAGATAGTAACAACCTACCCAACCGATTTGTTTCAATGTAATAGGAAGCATAGCTATTTTTTTGTTAATAAACCAGAAACACTTAGAGATATAAATGCAGTTTTATGTTTAATTTTGGGACTCACCTTGCAGGAGCTTCTTGTCCTCATCACCTATAAACTTACCATTGGTAAGTTACCACTGGTAAGTTACTCAGTGAATTGTTTTAAATTGGCTTTCAACTTATTGATACGTATCGTGATGCGTATCACCACCCAAGTATCGCAATATGTATTGTATCGTGAGAAAGTGGTATCGTTACACCCCTATTAATTGTACCCTCTATTACCAAAATGCATTGCGGTACCGTCGCCATGATCGTCCTTCTGTTTTCTTAGCGCCATTGTTAACGGACGTGTCATTCCAGCAACAAAAATGAAGATTTGCAACTGGAAAGAAGTGAGCAACAAAGAAGACAGACGACAGCAGCTCAAAAGAGAAAAAAACCTTTCTGCGAGTCCACTCACTTTGTTATCAATCGGCTTCTGATCCTTGATGACAGGGTAGAACCTGGGGGAGCTCTGGGCGTCCTTTGACCGCGGGGTGCGGGAGCCCATGGGCCGTACTGGCTCCCGCCGATGGGGACCCTGGGGCACGGCCGTGGGGAGTGACTGGGAGATCGGCCTGTCCAACTTGGTGGCTGCTGCTGGGATACCTGTGGTAATGATTGAGAGCTCTGTCAATGGGACATGGTGAAATGGGGGGGGGGAAATTGGTCATGTACCCCTTAGCAGCGGTGGGGCATTTACTACAACTCGCATTATTCCAGCTTGCTCAATATGTCTTCCTGCAAGGTAGCAGACTCGGGAGTGCTTGGATACTTGGAAAACAAAGTAGCCAATTATATACCATGTTCAATAATTGGGACGCATGTTGAATTTTTCATTATTTTTTAGAACATGTATTAAAAATGTGTGTACAGGCCGATAAGGAAAACACAAACCAGTTGACTCAATGTAGCAGTTCTGAGACGAGTCAATGACATGGTGCAAGAATTTCGGTTCAACCCTCCAATAAACATTTTATGTACCATGACGGATTCTGCTCACTTGATCTAAACAAAAGACACTAATCTGTTCAGATAACAGTGCATTCTCAATCTCAAACTCTGTACCTCTGTTGGGGATGTCCTTGGGTCTGACATCCGGCTCCTTCTTGCCCTCGCCCGCCTCCTTCTCCTCTTTGGGTGGGGCCGGGGGTGGGGCCGGGGGCACCTCCTGCTCCTCATAAGGCGCGGTGGGGGTAAGGGTGGAGAAATGCTCTTGGCTGATGGTGTTGATCTTCTTGTACATGTATTCATTCTGGAGGAAGCAAAATGTCGCATGTGAATCAGAGCAATACAAGCAGATGCCTATCACAATGTCCTCACAACCAGAATTCATCTTTCACCTTCTGCAAGTCGTCCTCGGTCCACAGGTCCATCTCGTAGTAGTAGAGTCCGTCGTTGATGATCTTGGCCAGGTCGCTGGTCATCTTGGCCCGGGAGACGTGGTACCCGGTCCGGTCACCGCCCGGGTGCTTCTTGTAGCAGGGTGGTGTCTGGGTCACAATGATGATCTTGCTGACTTCGTGGTCAGTCAGCTCGTCATCAGAATCATCAGACCTGAGGGTGCAAACAACCAGCAGTCAGAATTTTCCCATGCACTTTATGCAGTGGCCACTGCATAAACGAACAACTTTCCTTCAGCTTCTGCAAGTTCGTCTAATATCTGGAGACTGCACTGCAGAAAATGTGGCTTGGTCTGCATCCCAATCTGCTGGCTAGTGCTGAGTCCAGGGGCCATTTCCATAGAGCCGCTAAAGCACAGTATTTGCTTAAGCGTGAAAAAACCTTGCTTGAAAAAAAATCAAGGCACCAGCCAAAACTCCTTGTGATGTATGTTGTTTTGGAATGGTTTAACCGGTCTTTTGGTTACCATGGCAATCACATAGATTTTGAGCTGGTAACCTTTGTTTTTTAAGCCAGATTTTTTAGCGCTTAAGCAAATTTTGTGCTTAAGCAGCTCTATGAAATTGGTCCTAGGTCTGACAAGAGCCACAGCCATAGTGCTGGAAGCCTTGTTTAAGTTCTGAACACTGTCTTAGCTAACTTGTCTGGCCAAAGAAAAGCAACCCAAAAAAAAGCAGAGAACCAGGCAAGCGCAATAAGCATCAAAGGATATTTCTGTTACAAGATATATTTTGCTTCGGGAAGGTGTTAATTTTAAAACCCTCCTTTGCAAAGACACTTTCCTGAGACAGTTGTCATATCAGTCAAAATTAGTCAAATTTCCCATATGTGTCTGTGTACTGGGGCAAATCAAGTGGAAGGAATTGTTTACTGTTTTTGATGGTTACAGCAGCAGGAAGGTTAATAACAAGTTTTGCCTTCTGTAAATATATGTAACATTGGATATTCAGTATTTGTCCATTTAAAAACAAAAATCCCAAGTTTACTGGGGTGGGACTTGAACCAACGACCTCCTGCTTACTAGTGCAGAGGTCTCAACCACTGTAGTAAATCATAGGCTTCAATAAACCAAATAGTTTTCAGGGTTTCCGCATCATACCATTCCGAGAAGGTATTCTTTCTTCCACTGCCAGTGATGTTAGTGAGTTCCTCATCAAATTGGAAGTCAAGTTCTTCCGGTCCATCAAAGACCTCCGAGTCCTGCTCAGGTGCAGCAGACGTCTAAAAAACAAACAACCGGGAAAAACAGCATGCGGTTACACAACTGTAACACCTTGAAAATACCCAAAGTCTGCACTGTTGGAGGGAGGGGTCGACCAAGTCCTCTCTCCTTCGGGAGAACTACAACTTCAGAAACAACTGAAGACCAAGTCCACTGCAATCAAGCAACTGTCCGACATCTCAAAGACTTCCAAGCTATACGGAGCAGCTGGTTATCAGTATATATCTGCTGTAGCTATATTTAGTGCCCTTCGGGTGCATTTTGTGCACCTAAATGCATGACAGCTGACATGACAACTATGAACTGCCCAAATAGACTTCAGCAGACAACGGCCATCAGCCTATTACAAAAGACTCAACTACAAGACATACATTAAGTCTCCCCCTTCTTTCATCCCACCCACCTTTGTCTTTGGAGCAGCCGGACTGCGGTGTCGCCGGCGGACCTCGGTCCAGATTGCCGACTCCTTCTCCGGTAGGCTAGTGGACAGGCCGGGGGTCATGCTGACCCCTATACCCCCGCTGCTGCTGTCCTTGCGCTCCGGCGTGGGTTTGGTCTCACTGTCACTGACCGGTTCATCTTCTGCTTCCTTGGAAGTGGGAGCAGGGGTGGGGGACGTGGGTGCTGATTCTGAAGACATTCGCATACAAAAAATATTCAAGAAAAACCTTACATTTTTCTATCTTTCTGTTTTTAAAACAAAGAAGTCTGCTGAGAAACAGCAGAAACAAAAACAAAATTTGATCCCAAGTTCTCAAAAAATGGATTTTTTGGTGTTCCTGTGCTTCCTTGTTCCTTTGCAATGGATACATCCTCATTAAAAAGGCAAGGCTTAGTTACACAGGGATTGATAACAGGCCCCTGACAACTGCAGTCTCTTCGACTTGAGTGTAAACAGACTGGTTCTCAGCAAACATGCCAAAGAATTCTTGCAACTGTTCAATTCAAAAGAAATTTCCCCGTATTTCACAAGCATTGTATTTCTCAAATTCAAGACGAATGTTCATGTCACATCCCTCATCTACACAGGATCAACATTTGATGCCTGAAGTATCCAGATAAACGAAGCATAGTGTCAGTTTCTGGTGGCCTCATTATATAGCATTCATCTACATGGTATTGTACTACGAGTACATCACCCAATGCAGAATGTGAACAGCAATGGATATAATCACTGGCCAGAGGATTTTCATGCACACAAGCAATCTTGTCCCTCCAGGGGCCAATTTCGAGAGCTGCTTAAGCACAGAATTTGCTTAAGCAAGAAAAAACCTTGTTTGACAAATCAAGTTACCAGCCAAAACTCCACGTGATGTATATTATTTTGGAATGGTATTCACCTGTCTTTTGGTTAGCCTGACAACTTCATAGATTTTGAGCAGGTAACCTTTGTTTTTTAAGGAAGATTTTTTGTGCTTAAGCAGCTTTATGAAATCGGCCCCAGAAGCTTAGAGCACACAGTCTTAACAACACACGCACCTGTGTCGTGAGCCACGTAGGGGTAGGGCTGGCCGGGGACGAACTCGGGACTGTCGTACGACAGTACCGAGGTGGCAGCTGTAGGGATGGAGGGGCCTGTGATGATCCACTGCTTGGGATCATCGCGCCGACGGATTTTGGTCCGGTCAGGCGAGAGCTCAACCTCCTCGCTGTCTGTCAGTGCCTGTGGGGGTCGACGCAGATTGGCGAAATTCAATCATTTCAAATTCTTGAATGCCATCAGCAAAAAAAATAACCCATCTGTCACACATTAAAAAAAAAGTTGTACACATTCAACTCAATGATACATATGTAAAAAATGAGTACTTTATTCCTTTAGTGCACAGAAAACGATGGCATGCAATCGTTATTTCTTTTGAATTAACATCGGTTTGTTGTCCATAAATATCACAAATCTGAAGCACTTGCGCAAATGTTTTATATGTACGTGTGTGCACTAAAATAAGTACAATTTTTCTTTATTTTGTAGAACATGAGCAACATGCAGTGCTCAATCTTACGTTAAATTGACTGAAAAGAAATTTTCCGTAATTGTCAGTAAATAAATGGATGAGGTTTTTCAGACAAATGATCTCTTAGGATAAATGTCGGATGAATTTCCAAGAACTCTTCTGACCTCACCTCAACAATAATCTGGCTTTCTGCCGTTAGTGTCTGTACTCGATGGAAGCTGGCAATAAGGCTTACGGGCAGGTATCCCTCCGAGTCCATCTGAACAGGGATTGGATGATGAATACATGAGAACCAGGTTCTGAACAGTTGTTTTGCAAGCAGTTCTAATAAGGCATTTCGCAAGAAAGGGCTTTCCAAGTTTGTCATCAGTTCATTGGGTGAAAACCAAACAAACCCCGTGAAAATAAAATGACTAACTGATCCAAAATGTTTTGACATACCCAATGCCATTTCTCACCTTTCTCCTTAGAAAGAGATCCTTCACAAGATTCTCGACACTGAAATAGTATTCACTGAAAAAACAAGAAGACTTCAATTTAGTACTTCCTAATTCAGTGGTGAAGTGCAGTCTAAATTTCTATACATTTGTAGAAAGATCACAAACACGGCATGAGCATGAACAGTTAAAAATGGCACTTCAAAAAGGTCAAAATGCCCACAAAAAGAGCCACATAAGGTAATTGAGTGAATTTCACAGGAGTAATTTCATATATCATGCATATGCATGACTTTTCAAGGTCACATTCAATAAAGTTTTCCTAGAAAATGGGATTGTAGAAAGACACACAATCAGGATCTTGAAATCTCTATTTTATTTTATTGACAGTTGTTCATCAAACAGTATATTTAGTGCCAATTACAGGATGACGTGACAGTTAAGAGGGCCATAAAGAAATGTTTAGTTTTAGTGGAAGCAAAGCCCCGGACACATATTCCAGGGAAAACCCACGGAATCAGGCAGGGACTGAAAACCCAATCCACACGCTGACCTAGGTGGGATTTGAACCCGGGTCGCAGAGGTGGAAGCCCAGGAAGAGCCGCTACTTCAACCTGACTCCCCTACACAAACCTAACTCCCCTACACCAACCTGATTCCCCTACACCAACCTGATTCCCCTACACCAACCTGACTCCCCTACACAAACCTAACTCCCCTACACCAACCTGATTCCCCTACACCAACCTGACTCCCCTACACCAACCT